AATTTTTCTTCACTTGCATGTGTACTTCACCTTTGCATAAATTCTAATTGTGTGACTGTCTTCAAGTGCTCATCTTGTCTTATTATTTTCATTTTTCAAGAGACTGAAGCTAAATTTGCAAACTAAAGAGTTTTTATGGAGTCTTGTGTACTTAGAGACTTCTGAATGGTTATGTGCAGATTTTTGTCTTTGCTTTTCCCAACAGATGACATTCAATGAACTTGTAAACAAAGCTCCTCAGCTGTTGGGCACTCAAATGTATAAATAAAAGAAATCTAATTACATTTAGGCAAAACTGGAATGTGGAAAATGAACAGATTAAATCCACTGTCTTTTCCCAGCATATTCACTACACTAGTTTTTCCACAGCACTAAACAGTATTGCATTCAATCCAGCAGTCCAGACTTACAGCTTGTTTACTGTTGATTGTTTATGGTATCTTTTTAACTTTAAAGTTAAAAAGAGTACGATGCAAGCAGGTAAAGAAGAAAACAAAAGTTTAAACAAACTTTGAAAGCAAACCTGCTTAAAGGTTCATCTCACATATGATAATGTTTAGATAAAAACGGAGAAAAAATTCAGTTAATTTATTAAATAGAAATGAATACAAAGAATCTTAGAGATAATTCTGTTCTCAGAAGCTCCGATTTTCCTTCACTTCCACATCCTTTTCCCTTATGTGAAAAGTGTAATTGTGGGGAACTCTTCAGCTGCTCCGCTTGTCCTGTTATTTGCTTTTCTAATAAGGCTGGAGCTAAATTTGTAAGCTAAAGAGTTTTAATGGATCCTTCTGTACCTGAATGCGTCTCAATGGTTTTGTTTGCTTTCTTGGAAATTGTTTTCTTTGCTTTTATCTATAGGTAACATTAAGTCACTCAGCAAACTTGTAAACAGAGCTCTTCTCTTTTTGGACACTCATCACACACGAGTACAATTAAAACAATGCACGCATCATCACGTGTGCGACCTCCAGTAGTTTAAGATCTAATTTATACATAAAATAAAACAAATGCGATTATGTTTAGCTGTAGCTGGAGTAAAATGTAAGCAGACAAAGACAACATGCATTTTTACATGTATTCTGCTTACAGGGAGGGCCTCAGCTTTCCATCTATCACTATCACATGATTTCAGATTGAATAAAAATGAATGTCCTTGGTCTGCAGCTGCTCTTTGCTCTCTCTTTATCCTGGTTCTTGTTTTTAGAGGTGGCACCAAAACTGTTGAGCAAATGTTTTTAATTGGTTTTGAACAGCAAAGTTTTTGAATGTTGGACCTGTTATTGTGCAGATATGGACAGATGTGTTCTGTGCTGTTAATGACAGGTCAACCTTTGCTCAACATTCAGTGCTGATCAAATGTTTTGCTACTGCACGTACATCACATTGTCATGACATACTTTAGTTTGTTGAGTCAAAAGGTTTTTCATCTGTCTCACAGCTCCATAGAGCTGATGAATCCCATTTTTAGGCAATAATATTTTCATAATTTTCATAATTTCCTCTTTTTTATATATATTTTAGATGCTATGAAAAGTCACAAATACTCACACTACCTTTACTAAAAGGGGCATTTTGCTATTTTATATGTGAATTCACAACATACTGACTGTTTGACATAACTCATCTGATTGTAGGAAAACTGTTGAACCTAATAACGAATACAGGATTTTTAAACAACTTTATATTTTGTCTCTAACATAGTTAAGTGTCTCTAACTCTCATTAATTGCTGGCTTGGGTATAAGTCAGAAAAAAATAAACAAAACAACAGCAGCTATCCAAACTTAGGAAAAGCAAACCCTCTTGTGTCCTAATCATCTTGATAGGACATGGTCACTGTAGGGCCTCCTGTACTGTTTCAGCATCATTAGTCATTTGCGTTCATGAATAACCTGTTTAGATCATTTTATACTGCTGTGATTTAAGATTTTTACACTTCACTGTGCAAATTTCATGCTGTTTTAATCTAAAACTTCAGTCCTATGCTTACTTACCTACTTCGGAATACCGAGTTTCATCATGTCTCCTTTATGGATTAACTGAAGGCTGACATGATGATTTGAGTTACACCATTCAAAGCCATGTTGAGGAAAATTTGTAAATCTTTTTTTATACAATAGCACCTTTTTTTACCTGCTATGGTACATACTTCAGTATTTTTCTTTGTCAATTTTTAAAAATGTTTTCAGTTTCTTACTTAACTATGAAACCATATGCAACACAGCTTAATACTTTTTCTTCGTTGTGTATATTTTCCTAACTGTGATTCTCTGTCGAGGCTTATGCATTCTACACATGTAGCTAAATCCATAACTGTTTTAATGGATGAGTATGTTGATATTTTATTATTTTATTTTGGGGTTTTTTTCTCTCTCTCTCTCTCACACACTCACACACACACACACACACACACATACACACAAAAAAAAGAACGTAGATATCAACTTTAAAGTAATTTCATGCAGCTAGTCATTGGTTGGCTATAGCTTAGCATGCAGACTTATTCATCCACTATCTGGAAGGTTGATGGTTCAATCCCCTGCTCAGTCTACAAGATGCTGGTCCCCAGAAAACTGCACATTGATATATCTTCAGTGTGTATGACAGAAAAATATGAAATAAGTTCTATGGGAGTGCTGTTTGTAGTTTATAAAGTTTTTGGGGGGGTAGATTAAAGGTCTAGAAAGGACATTGCAAGAAATTGTAATCAACTTTCCATTTCCACACTACCATGGGATTAAGAACCACACAATATTTATTTGGTTTTACAAAAGAGGTAAGAGTTACTTCAGCTGTACCCTGTGTTGGCTCTTTCAAGCAAGTTAATTTAATACTGGTGCCTGACTGTGGGACTGTTAACAATCACCAGGAGTGCAGAAACTTTTCTGCCATGAATACAAAGATTCAGTGCTTAATGTGCTGAGATCAAACAGGGAGGAGTGTTATTTCCTTTAAGATCTTATATGCTCTTACTTGTTTGTGGAGATTTTTATGATTTAAAGGATTAGAAACAAAGGAACAGATGTACGTCAGTGTTGCGGCTTCAAACTTCAAGTCAAATTGTAATACCTGATTTTCTACAGGAAGCTTGTCTCAGTGTGGATGGAGAAAGAAACACCATAATTTCACACCTCATTCAGCTAAAAGGTTGTTTTAAATGTTCTGTGAGTCCCTTGTTTGATTTTATCCTTTTTAATCTGCCTACTGAAAACAATTTCTTGTTTTCTGAATTCAGTCACATCACATGTGATACTGTAAGATTAACAACGACTATTAAATTAAAAACAGAAACAGAGCAGAAACTCTAATGTCATAGAGACAAAATTAGAGTCCTTGCTTTTTTATTTGACCTCTATTGAGACCCGATGCTCGGCAGCCATTTTGCTGCAAACACTCTATGGCTTGGTAGTCAGGCATATGAGAGCTTAGAGGATAAAAACCTCCTCTTGTGTCATTATTGTGGTTGTTTTCCAAATCTCCATGTATCTTGTTTCCATATCTAGATGTAAGAGGGTTTTTTTTTCCCTAGCAAAATTGGCTATAAAAGCCTGTCATAAGCAGTGTAGCCTCCTCTAGTCTGACAGAAAATGGCTGACTGTACAGCTGAAAGCACAGAGCTTCTGAGAAGCAGAGCAGTACTCCTGCATCTCTGCTTTTATGGCAAGGATGTTCCAAAAAAGGTTGACATCAAACACTCAGAAATTAGAAATGATGGCATTTTAGATAACAGATGTTATGAAAGAGGAAAATTTGTGGTCATCTTTTTGAAAAGTACTACAGTTATATTAATATTGGTTTTACATTACAATACACAGAACATCAAGCAACATGCACACGCAGTGAGTGTGTGTCTGTCATAAAAGAGACAATAAAACTATAAGGATCTATACGCACAGACGCGCACACACTCACACACATCCTTGAAGGTTCACACTGAGACCTTAAAAATTAAATGGAGACGCTCAGTTTAAAGAAAATATTAATTGTAGTAAACGTAAAAAAAACAAAACAAAAAAACCCCATTATCAGTCTTAATCCACAGATACAAGCTAGGATTATATTTTATTATTATTATTTTGCTGTTCTAGGTTTCAGAAAAAACATGAATAAAATGTATATATATGCATACATATATCAAAAACAAGAAAAAACATAAAAGATCTGTATATAGTTGATATATGATACTATAAAATCTTCAGATGCACAAAACCATACTGAGTTTTGTGTGATGGGGTTCAACTACAACGTGTACACATGCAAACAGAAGCAATGTCAGCAGGTGAGAGGTGTACAATCGTCAGTTTGGAGTAAAAAACTAAAGCGATATCCACGTGATGTGCTTTAAATATTTGTAGTGATCACTGGCTATGGTTTGTGAATTACACAGCGCTTATTATAATTCATCACTGTTGTGTGTGTGCATCTGTATTTCCTTGCTGAAACTAATAAAAATCATCACATAGACTGACTGTGCATGTCAGTTGGTGTGTGTCTGCTCCCTGCAATTGTATTCATCTGCTACTACATGACTATTTTGTGTAACTCACATACTATATAAAGTTACTGTCACATTTACTCAATACTTAATGTTTGTGTGTGTGTGTGTGTGTGTGTGTGTGTGTGTGTGTGTGT